ACGGTCGTTGCCTAATCCCTTCTTGCTTCATTGCGCGGGAAAGCGCCGGCGGAATAGTGTAAAAAGGTAAACAATCATTGGCTGCAGAATGAATAGGCCTAACCTTGCGTTGACCTCCAGCTTTTCTGTCGTTCTTTTTCTCTTTCTTCCTCTCACGATCACAGGTGTCAGCGCCAGTCTTGTACACGTTACTTAAAAAAAGTAATCGATTACAATTACTATTACTCTTGGCTAAAAAGTATTCGATTAGATTACTTGATTACTTGACGGCAAAAGTAATTGGACATTACTTAAAGAAGTAATCGTTACTTTTCCGATTACTTTATTGTGTGAAGACACATCTTTAGCGCTCATAACAATGAACTACTTCCAACCTATATTTCACATTTGCACAAGTATTGAAGAAGAAAAACTGGCTCCCTCTTCGTGGTCGTTGCACCTACACAATGCGGACACAAGCATAGAATTCGTTTGAAGACGTCTATGATTTGGGCGTTCGCCAGTGTGTGTGTGTGTGGGGGGGGGGGGGGGGGAGCGGAGGGAGTTCTAGATAGGGTTGTCGCTCAAAGTTTGCGTCGCTCATTTTATTATTCACATGTGGATGAGCTCGCATGTTATACAAAAGAGCAGCAGCTCCAGGATTTGAAACGGATCATGTGTAGTATCCATTAGCGGAAGAGATTGCCCCGACCATTTCTCAACTCGCAACATTGCTTGTCGCAAAGACCACGTAGTGGAATTGGGGAAATGTCTCAACTGCCTTCGTTATATTTTGCATCCGCTTTAGGCATCCTTCGGTTCTAGTTCTCCTACGGGCTGCGAGTAGGTACCCTAAGCAGGATTTTTTTATTTTTTTTTATTTCTGTGTGTGTGTGCGTGAGGGGGCTAGTTTGAACGAAGGACTCACAAAGCTACATTCTGCTTCCTCAAACTTCGCCCTGAATGGCCTTTGTCACGCACTGTGGCTTCCCTGGTGCTTCCCACTCCCAGCCAGCTCGAAAAAAAAACAACAAAAAACGGACATTCCACAGAAACCTTGCATAGAAAGAGATTGACCTCGTTTTCTACATCTCCTCAAAAATCTATCTTTTTTCCGTTAAAAAAAAAAAAAAAATAGGAAATTTTATTTTTGTCATTTCATAAAAAAAAAAGGCGTGTGCCCGGGGGGGGGGGGGGGGGGGGGGGGGGGTCCCGTGGACAAATTGTAACGGTTACAAGTAAATTTATTACATCAAAAAGTAATCAGATTACCCTTGTGATTACTACCTAATCAAAGTAATCAACTGATTACAAAATTACTCCAAAAAGTAATCGATTACAAGTAATTTGATTACTTGTAATGCGTACGGTACAAGTCTGGTCAGCGCTTACAATTTACCACGCTCCACAGTCCCGGCTTTGTATCCCTGATCTAAGCGAGGTAAAAGCGTTCGAGCCGTCACCATCCCGCGTAAACAACCGACGCGCACGAGCATATCCAACTCGATGAGCCGACCGTGGCCCACCCGGCCCCCCGACTTCTCCAACCTCGCCGCGCATGCGCACAGCCAATTTAGAATGAAATCACGTGGGCCGCCCTGTCAACTTCCGGAAAGATCTGTGAAATCCCACAGAGAAAGTTCGGGGGGAGGGGGGGGGGGGGGGGGGGGGGGGGGGTGTGAGGCGCTCTGTGGAGCGGGCGCTGCCACAGATCTACGAGCGGAAGATGACCAACTCAAGCCAGATCTGCGAGCGGAATATGCGCGCTCCAAATGGAGCGCTTTTGGAGCGCTCGAGATCTGCGAGCGGAATTCACCATAATTTGAATTCAAACCCTTTACTTTTTCAAGACGTACAACTGCAACGGAAAAAGAGTAGCACAAGTGAACGATGACCGGAGTGGCAAAATCGCGACAGGCGGCGCTATTGTTCCCGAGCGCGCTGATAGCGAGAGTGCCAGTCACGTTCCATATCTGAACGCGGGGGTGGCCGGCTGAAAGCAACCCATCCTAAAGCCCATATTTTAAAAACTATCTTATCCTTAAATTTTCTGCCGGCAACCTCCGCGTTAAGACATCCAACGTGACTGGCACTCTCGCTATCGGCGCGCTCGGGAACAATAGCGCCGCGTGTCGCGATTTTGCCGCTCCGGTCGTCGGTCACTTGTGCTACTCTTTTTCCGTTGCAGCTTTACACTGGATGAACGCGAATCGTGCTGCGACTTGAAACGAAACGATCACGTTTCAACACGCACCTAATTCTGGAACCGACACGAAATATTATATTTATCCATTTTTTTTAGAATGTTCATATACGTAGAATTTAGTCCGTAACACTACGCCATGATTACTGTAGTGTCTGACTTTATCATTTTTACAAACCGGTATTCCCAATGCCTTAATAGCAAAACGTTTGATAAAACAAGAACGCTTTCTTCATTAAAGAATGCAAACACAAAAGCGAGGACAAAAACAAACAAGAGAGACGAGATACACTTATAGAGGTCTCAACATCATGAGCCATTAGTGTTATAAAAAAAAAAAAATCGCTGTCAATCTTAGTTCTTGGATTTACAGAATGTTGAAAGTTTAAACAGCTAGCAAAATTTTTTATAGTTGTATTCAACTTTTTTGCATGATATTTCTACTAATATGGCATACATTTAATTCGTTAATACTGACGAGTTTAAATCCAGAGATGTAATACTAACAGCTTCGTTGCAGCGATATTCAAATTACTGCAGACTTAAGTATAACACTGACCACGGGAAAAAGAAAACAACTATAGCTCATCCACCCTATCAATGCAGATTAACGCGACCAGTGGACAAGATTTGAACCTGAAGTATATTAACACTTTATGTACTTTATCCTCATGTACTGGCAGATGACGAACCTCAGTACGTGCCAGAGCCAGTTGCTAAAGTCGTTCACATTGTGAAGCCCAAGTTACCTGGTATGAATCATTTAAGCCACCGTCCTGTTTATAATACCAATTTTCTTACGCTATGTAAAACGGTATTTCCCAAAACTTTCGATTTAGTAACTTAGGCTACATTAGTATGGTGATAACAATTACCCACTAATAATTTAATATTGTACATTTTTGTCAAAAGATAGGACCTCTACCGCAAAAGTTTGTGATGTCACTTGTGTGAGACAAACATCGCTAGTAAACTATACGTAACCAATTTATTTATTATAAAAATAATTTTTTATCCTAAAGGTATTTATTTACCTTCATATGGTCATATCGCCCTTTTTTATATATCATTATATATCTTTAGTGGTATAAATATTTTCTTTCTCAAGGGCATGCTGGAATGGGAAAAATAGAGGCCTGATTAAAATAGTATAAGCTTTTTTATAGTAATCATTAAGCGGATTTCAACTTTCAATCTTCATACGCGTTAAGGCGTCAGGGTGCCCGGCCATAATTTTGAAACATTTTTGACGAACAGTTAAGAGAGCCCCGTTAAGGGAACCCCTTCCCGTCTAACCATGACATCCCAATAATACTACCATCGATTTGCTATTGGATATAAATACGTAGCCTCCATTTTACTTTAAACATGTTTCTAAACGAATTGTGATCTGTGCAAGCGTCTGAAATGTTTTTTTTTTCCACCTTCGCGCCTTGAACGCGTTAAGAGAAAGCGGGGAACTGCGAAACAGTTTATCTGTTGTCGCTTTACTTGTTTTCGCAAGAGCGGGAAACATTTTGTTCAATTCCGTTTAAGAAAAATGAAAATTACCAACCCTTCCGTATTTCACTGGAAATTTTTTTCGCTTGAAACCTGCTACTTCACAAGACTTTCCGCTACACCGTTTTACTAAACCTAGTGAAAGCTTGTTTAATTGTTTAAAATTATCGCAGCCATCTGCCCCAGTAGTCCCAAAGAGCAGCAACAAGAGAAAAATCTAGGAAGCATTATCTAGGACGTTTTAGCGACAACGTTCTTGGAACGTTATCTCCTCGGATTCCTTCGGTGAACTAACAAAATAACTCCCCATACATTTTAATAAAGATAAAGCACAATGGGTGATATTTATATGCAAACACCTGTGAAAAAACAAATTGAATATTAGGCCCGCTTAAATATGTCTTGTAATGGGCACCAACCTCATCGTTCATTGGTTCTACCCACGAAACTCAAAAGTATCAGCGAACAAAATTAAAAAAATAAAACATTTAAAGTATTGGTACAGACAAACGTATTATGATAATTACGGAAAAACGTGGCAAGGACATAAAATAGTGACATATTTCATCATATCCCTTCAACTGAGAAAATGAAAAAATATATATCTTTTGTTTTATCTATCAATCTATCACAGATACCCTAACGCAAGCTTGGGTTTTTATTGCAAATAACGTTTGCCTAATATTATACATGCGCTTAAGTAATACCCGGAATTCGCAGCATAAACCCATGTCTCTGGTTGACGAAATAATTTGCCGTTACAAGTTCCTTATTCCAAAGTAACCGCCAAAATGCGAGCCTTCGTGATCCTATAATCAATCGATGTATTTTATTCAAAGATTTGCTTCGGTATAATCAAGCCAGCGCTCCGACAAAAAGCCAGCAGTCTAACGGAAAAACTTAGCGCTCACCTTTGTTTCACGGCTTTTATCTTGAGCGACGGCGTGCAATTAGCAAAATTTAAGACGTTCTTTCCCAGTCTCAGTTTCTTTGTTCGTGCTCGAAAGACCCGAAATTTCAAACCGGTGAAGTTTTAATTACCGAATCCGTAATTTTCAGAACCTAACTCGAAGTTCTTAACGCTGAATACTAAATTGCTACGTTCTCGACCGAGCGTAAAGGGGAATGTTTATTAATATGGATTTAACTGCCATCCCGAACCGCGAAAAAAAAAAATTATACGCTCACACATCGCTGAAACACTATTTGCAATTCTAAACGAGGAACCAAAAAATATTACCCTTCGTTAGTCAAGTAGTGGAAAATGTAATAAAGGCAAAGTTTAACAAGGAGTTTGTGAATACAAGGGCATTATCCAGTTCGCTTCACTTTCATTTGCGCTTTTTTTTTTTTTCTCAGCAAAGAAGAAGCTAACAGGCCGTAAGTGTGGAGTTTTGTTTCGTTGATCTTGTCTTTCTGCATTCATCTTTATCATTTTTTTTTTGTTTTTTGAGGACTTTTGTTTTCATTAACACTAGGTTGTCCTTTCAATTACGCCAAATTGGTTCATTAAAATTTAACGTTCATTACGGCATGACACGTTTTAAATCTGTGGAAAAAAAATAAGCGTTTTATTTAATTCTTTACGGCTCTTGCGCATATCATTTATTGACGTATTTCCAGTGTTTCCCTTGTATTTCGTTTAATGTCTCTGTCTTCTTTTTTCCTCCTTAGATTCTAGTAACGGTGAGTCTATGTCCATTTTACAGGAAATAACTACGTAAAAAGCGGCAAGAAATATCTAAAATATTGTACGACCCATTTCTAATAATGGGTGTAAATATTTATCTTAGAACACTGTCCACCGTGCATTAAGTACCCAGGATGTTTCACCAACGACTGAAAATAATTTAAGCAAATAGCTTTAAAAAAGAACTATTCCTTTGGTATAACGTTATCGACCTTGGTGAATTTTATGGTAGGGATGAAAAGTACTAATGATCAATTCAAGACCCTTTCAAATATTCGCCTTTCTTATATGCTTATTGAAATGCGGTGCGTGTCGACAAAATAGGCCATAGTATTCCATAGAATAATATAAATCAATATAGTCTTTCAGGTATTCAATGGCGAGGTTGGGCTGCCCACAGTCCATCATACCGAAACTAGGGAAAATAAAGCACCAAAAGCTGCATGCCGGACCTGAGTGTTTAGCGCGCCTTATTTTTTGTAACCACGTGTCCCTTAGCTGCCTCGACGTTGTCAGGTTGGCTGGCGATGGTTTGATACTCGTATCTGCGGCGGAAGCTGGCATAAATTTTGTATGCAACAATCGCCATCTTTTGTCGTCTTAGTTTCGGTATCTGTCTTCCTTCGGTTCACAATTAGTTCATAATTTTTCCTAGCCAACTCGCCTGTCTACCTTGTATTTATTTTTAATTGGTTCTTTTGTTTTTGTGTTTAAACTTTCAGCATTTCTCTTTAGCCTAATTCAGTTATTCGCATTCACAAAACAGCCATGACATATTCTGAAAAGTTTATTAGTTAATTAGTGTGTTCCTGGTTAAAGATTTGCTAATTAGCTTTTACACTTGTAACCTGACGTCCACCGCGTTGCGTAACGTTATCAAGTTTTTTTGTGTGTTTTTTTTTTAATGCAGCACGTTTTTACTTTAAGAGCCCCTTTTTAGATACTAATTCCATTCGTTGTTGAAACACACTGTTTATTGATGCCTCGCCTATCATTGCTTCGAGAGATTTCAGGGAGAGGGTGAGCTTCACATCTTTTTGATCGCGAATGAAAATGCAGTTTTGAATTATAAGGAGTGCCTTTATTTGAAGCTACAACTTCATTTTTGACAATCGAATAATAAACCATTCAAACTGCACGCATGACTATAAACTCTAAAAAAGGCGTTAAAGATTTTATTGTATGATTGCAACACATCACAAGGGTGATACTAACGTATTTCTATTCACGGCGGACTCGGGCGGCACGGTGGCGCTACACGCAATAGCGTGGAAGAAAACGAAGCGCACAAGACGATCCTCTTTAGTAGACGACTGCACAAGTTAGACTGAAACGTCACAGCAGTCACACCTCCTATCGGCGACTCTTAGCAGAACTTTCTAATTATAAGCTTTCCGAGAGTTCTCGCCTATGATGTATACCAAAGGAATTACGAATTCTGAGAATGGCAACGGAGGAAGTCAGACGCTTCTTTGTTTTACTAAAAATTTAGTCAAATCATTATAAAATTGATGTTTTATTAGCTTATGAAGAATGTGCTTCCCGCACAAAAAGCAAATACTTTGGGGTTGCGTCTTGAGACGCATGCGGTAGTGGAAAGGCTGGAAACGTACACCGAAAATCGTTTACTTCGTTCGCTTTTCGGAGCTCGTGGCCTTCGAATCATGCTGTGCTACCTCTAGACCCCTGGAAATTGATAAAACTGCGCATTGAAGTAGAGGGGGTCGCTACAAGGTTGGGCTCTTCTAGAGTGTGGACTCCCTGGCAGCATCCCTCTCCACTCCACTGTTTTTTTGGTTCCAAGGAGCCTCTAGTTAGCGCAGCGTATATCGACGGCCACGCGCTCCGCCCTTCCAGTATCATTCGCACCCGACAACACGTATGTGCATGTGCCGGAGAGAGTGGGCAGGCATAGCAAGTCTTACGAAACCTTGACGTCCACGGCTCTTGCACTCCCGTCGGCATGCGCAGTGAAGTATGCGCACTACTACGCCGGCAACCTGTGTCTGGAGCCCAACCCGTTCGTGCCGCTTACATCGGAGCCCTACTTCAATAGGACGTCAAAGGAGATGCTGAAGGTGTACTACAGGTGCATAGGAGGGCTCATGGGCTTCGTCGTGTGCGGCTACAAGAAGAAACCCGTCACCGACCTCTGCGTCCTCTTCGAGAAAAAGTGTAAGTGGCCGGGCGTACATTATCCTACACGCTAAGAAATTCGGTGCGTCTACTTTCCCGCAAAGCACATCGGACAGTCAGTGTCTGCAATCGTCGAATTTGGAGGATAAAAATTTGTCTAAACATAAAAAGAAACAAAACATATACTGCTCTATGACAATGACCATGACGTTTCACGCGTTTGCGTTATGCTCGGTTTCCCAGTGCACTATATTTTATGCTAAAACTTTATTGGAGCCACGTCATTCTACGAGCTCCCTCTGTGGATTACATGTAGATTGGAATCTCCTAAGTGAGTCGAGGGATATAGACCTTACCAACAAACGCCTTCTGCGAGCTGCCATCTTTTCTTACTGGACTGTTAAACGCCTTCTGAGCACGCGCAATAGCGCCTCTTGCGAAAAAATCGTACGCCGCACCTGCGTAACAGTCCAGTGACTCGACATTTTTCGCCTGGGCGATAAGCGATGGAAAGGTTTATAGACGCAGTGGATTTCTCTCTAGGTTGTATAACAGTACTGGGCTGGCCCGAGGCGTTCTATACTACCCGTTCAAATCGCAATTGCACGGTTTATTCCTTAATACTCTCGGAACACTAATTACCCACATATAACTGGATCTAGGAAGCATAACACTTATAAGCATAGGTGCATGGCATGCATCATATTGTCACAAATGAAGACGACGAGAGGATGAATAGCGAACTAAAAAAAAAAGGTTTAATTAGCGAAATTGTGCCAAACAAAATAAAGAACGAGCGTCGAGACAGCGGAAAAAAGCGGGCGGCGATTAGACGGCGAAGCAGCAAGCGAGAGCGAGTTTGACCCGCAAAATCGCGGGCTGCTCCTTGTCTGGAGTGTGTCGGCATCTGGAATGTTCGGCAAAGAAGCTTTGAGCGTCTCGGGCTCGATCGGGGTGAGGGGTGAGAATGAACAGGCACTTTTTATAACAAGAAACAAAGATGAAATGATAAGAGTTACGTCCCGAGTGAGAGTAAACGGGAATCTTCTAGAATTCCGTGACCGACCGTTGTTTGCTCGGCCCTGAGCGCCGGCATTATCCCCCCCCCCCCCTTTAAAAGCGCATCGACCCGATGCCAAAGCAGAACGAAAACGGCTAATATCAAAAGCGAAATTACGGTGAGAAGAAATAAAAAAAAAATGAAAAACGTTTACAACTCCCTGTAATGTCGGATCAGAACGCAGCTCTTTAGATAGAGGAGGGGAGGGAATGCCCCCCCCCCCTCATCCGTGCCCTCTCCTCCTCTCCTCCTTTCCTGCTATAGAGCTACCACGAGCAAGCCGTTGTCGACCTTGGCAGCACACAATTTACCAACTTCGTCTGACGTACCACGGAGATCGATAAGCAGAGTACAGACGCGTACCCATATACATGGCCACTTGGATAACGAGTGCACGACGTTTCCATACGTGCCTCTTTGTGATTTATGAGTGGTGATATCACTTGCCTGCACAACGGGTAGCTGGCATGTTCCCTCCTCCTGCTCCGTCCTTTTCCCCCCCACCCTCGCGTTGCATCATGGGACGTTTCCCATAATGCACCGGGCGGTTACGCCAACGCTGACGGCGACGTCGCTCACGCCGGAAAGTTGCGCCTAAGAGCTGCGCTCTAAAACACAGCGCCACAATCCTAACGCGCGTAGAACGGCTTGAGTCGAACTACGTGGACCACTTCGGGTCGTGGCTTGCGGCGTCCTGATGGTCGGGTTCCGTCGGGGAGCACCTCGTAGTTCAAGTCCCCAAGGCGACGATGGACCTTGTAGGCTCCAAACTCCAAACTAGCCTTTTAACAGTTTCTCGCTGAGGCCGCGGCGGCGAATGGACATCCACTCCACACCTTATCTCCGTGCTCGTTTCGCACGTCGAGGTGCCGAAAGTTGTACCGGCCAGCGTCGACACATGTCTTTCGGCTATCTTCTCTTGTAATTTGTTTTCGACAGCTAAGTGCTTTGTCGTTTGACACGCAACTAATTGGGCGGCGCCGTCAAAACTTATTGTAAAAAAAAAAAATAATATTCCAGTTGCATTCGTTTGGTCGCGCGCGTACCCAACAAAAATAGTTTACGGGGTTTTCTACATCTTTTTTTTTTTCAAACTGGGGTACAATATTTTTCGATGTCTTTTAGAAAATACATGCACCATGAAACACAGAATATAGCGAGAAACGACCAGAATTAAGCGGCCAGCAGCGTTTGAAACTGCGCCTACGCAGGCTGCGCCTATTGAAATCACAGTCCAATCGGTTGGGGTTAGGAGGGACGCCGGTGAGAGTCTAGGCTTCAAACTCAGTGACTGGGCTCAAAAACAATTTGTTGCCCCTGGGATCGAGTGTTTCTTGGAAAAGTGTATATTCTTCGGAATATAAAATAAATTAATTGACATTAATTTTTACAAACTCATTTTAATTGCTTTCGAACGGTAGCGAAAGGCATACTTCTCCTTCATGTATATCTCTTACCTATTTACTCATCATTCTTTTATAATTAGAGTGAATTAAATCTGAGCGTGCTGAAAGTTTCTATTTCCAGGATATAGCGTGTGTATTTGATATCGCAAATACTGCGAAACTCGCCGTCTAGTTCAGAATCTGAAGTGGTTGGGGGCTATTCACAAACTGGCGCCAACACGTTTCAACTTACGCAAGAAAGAACGAATACACTTACCTAGTCTATTGTCGATTCAGAGTCGCTCCTCTCTTATGTTACTTTTCCCTCACATTTCATATCTCCTATGATCAGCATTTCGTGGTCTTTTCAATTTCCTTGATGTTTCCGTTTATGCATCTTACGTCCTCTGCGTTTTCCTCTCTCCAGTCATTTTCTGCCCACAAATATACAAATCCCAAGAGTATTTGCGCATTTTCAATACTACCTTACATTCCTAAATGTTTCCTAAAATATTTCTTGACCCTCTTTCAATCTTGTCCTTTCACTAATGCTCCTGACAGCCTCCTTTCCGTTCTTTTCTTTTCCTGTTGCATTCTATCCACGTGCACTCTAGCATAAAAGATGGTCCTTTCACGCGACCCTGTATACTGTGAAATGTTCCTTTCGGAATTGGTCCCCGAATTCTATCCACTTCGGTCTATTCCTGCCACCTTGCATGTTTATGAGCCCTACATTTTGTTGTATTTTTCTTTTTCTCTTGCGAGTCTTAGTCCTTCCCTTCCTTGTTTCCTCTTCTCTTGTCGGACAAGGACTCTCCTCAAACCTGTCTCTGCCCGTAAAAACAACAACAACAACAACTACAACTTTATTTCTGCGCTTAATCATGTACCCTACCTGCCTCACCGAGGGTACGCTGTAATTAAAACCATTCTAGGAGAAAGGACGGTGTGTTCCATTCTCATAGAACTCCTGCTTGGCATCCATCACGCCATTCATCACGTACCTAAGGACCTCCCTCATCTTTCGCATAACTCCGTCCACTTCAATGATCTGCCTGACTTCCTCCGGGCCCCTTCCCTGGACCTCTGGAATAATGCACAAAACAATGTGCAACCCCTCCGAGCCGGCCCAGAGTTTCACCAGTCCCGCCTCTGTTTGATTCCCCGGATGCCGTCCCTTCAACTTAAGTACGTCATTTACCCCTGCGTGTACGACAACTAAGTTCTTTCCCTTAATATCCTTCCAGATCCTGTCCTTTGCCCTATCTATTCCCTCACTAAGACTCCTCCCTGGCATGTCCTCTACCGGCACCCTCTCATCATATCTCACCGTCTTTAGTACCGCCTCCTTGCATTTTGGCACATTGGAATTTCCGACAACCCACATCATCCTGCGCTCTGTCTCCTTTTCCTCCTGTCCTGTCATCTTCCCCCTTGTGCCTTCCGATGCTGTCCGTCCTCCCGTGGCCCTACTTGTTCCGACTATCTGACTAAACGTCGGCGTTGTGGGCGTTGTCTGCTCATGTGGGGCACTGTCCTGGCTATCTCCTACATTTCCTTGCTGGGAAAGGCGCCCCCCGCCAGCACTCCCACCTGTACCGTGCCCACCATCTGACTCTCTCTGCGTTTTAGACCTCGGAAATTACGTCTTCAGTGCTTCCCACTTCTCCCCTTTTGCCTTAACCATTGCATCTATCTCCTCAAACCGCCCTTCCAACTGCCTTGCTTCGCTCTTGTTCTTTGCCATCAGGCTCTCCCTCAGTTCCCTGACCTCGGCCTCCAGAGCCGCACTACACTCTCCTTTTTTCTGCAGTTCCTTCACTAGCTACTCTACCCTCCCTCCCCATTTCTCGTCGAGTTTTAGTTCTTAGACAGATCCTGCAAGTGTACTCTGCCTCCTGTGCTGGCCCCACATTCGGAAAAAAGGTTTTATCCAGATAGCACCAACTCCAACCCACGTTGCAACGCACCTTCCCTTCGCCTGACTCCAGGTCTTCTTTCTTTTTTCGCTTTCGTCTCGCCATCATTCACCCTCTCTTCACCGGGAAGCATTGCGTGTACTCAAAATTACCCGCTACTCTGCTCTGCGTGGCAAGCCCCATGACAAGCCCCATGCGGCAAGCCCCCCCCCCCCCTCCCCCTCAAAAAAGAAGAAGATAAATATAGATAAATAAATAAATAAAAATAAAAAATAAAATAAAAAAGTACAGATTTTGTAATTACAAACTATATCCGTGTAGCATAAAGACAAAAAAAAAGATCTTACTTATCACGTCTTCACAAACCTCTGCGAAAAAAGAACGGTCAAACCATCGCACCAAACGTTTAAACAAAGCTTGTCACGTGACTGCAATAATCGAACTTCCTTAAAAAGTCATTTGAAGTCATTTCTGAAAAAGGTCATTTTTGATATTATATTGTTTAAAATGTGTTAGTTCCTACATATAAGTCCTATATTGCAAAACCGCATATTCACCTCAGGGCAATAGAAGAACATGTGGACCCTTTCTTTCTCGCGGACTACAGTGTGTGCACCAATGAAAACCCAACAATACGCGCAGATTCCAAATGATTTTATTATAACTCCTTTCGAA